CAGGGGATGCGCTGAGAGAAGGCCGTGGGGCGGAAGCTGTGGGTGGAGGCGCGGGGGGACGCCGGTGCTGCAGGCGACCCTCGAAACCCCCGAGCTGCAGTCTGCAGCTGCCAGTTTTACACAATTTGAGGGTGGGTGTGCTGCTTCGATTCAGCTCTCGACGTAGCTTCAGACGGAGAAGCTGCAGAAGGTGGAGATCCAGCAAGAGAAGAAGAAACTGCAGAATCAGCTGGACGAGTGACGCGGAAGAAGGAAGAGGACAGAAGGTCGAGTCCACGCAGCATGAGAAGAGGGCTTTGCAGCGGCGAAAGAGCTTGAGACGGAGAAGCAGACGGAGATCGGGCCAAATCTGCAGAAGCGGCTGGACGAGTTTGTTGGCGCCTCCCGCCCTGTCCCACGCCCAAGCAGGTGGCCATGGGATGTCGGCCACTAAGGAGTTGAGCTCTGTGAGTCTCAAACCCAGCGGGGATCCAGTCTCCTGTGGCCAGCTAGTTTTTGAATGTCACCAAAGCACGACGTGTACGGTACTGCGGCCGGTTCGTGCTTTGTCCATGTCGTGGATACTAACAAATGATGGGCCAATGGGGTTGTCCCCTGTATCTTGGGCCCTGGACAGTGCAAATCTTGTCGGACAGGAGCTGGGGCAGCACCGACTGCCTCCAGAGGCGATGGACTTTTGGACCTTCCAGGCCGGGGCACCTCAGGCGGATGTTTCCAGGTTGCTTCCGGCGTACATCTCTTGTAACTCACAGCCTCCGAATGGCGCACTTGCGCACTTCGGAAAGGAGACCCTTTTTTTGCTACTTCCCAACCTGTATTTCACCAGAGCTGTTTGACAGCTCCTAACAGCCTAACAGCCTCGCTGCAGTATTCAGCCTGAAATGGAAGCTGCAACTGCTGGTAGCTCAGCATGCGCCGCAAAACTGTTATTGTCTTTACAGATACGTAAAGCTCGCCAATTGTCCATTGATGGACACTCCCGACCATTGTATCTACAAATGTCGGCAGCCAAACGGCAAGCGCAAGTTTAGGATGCCTTTGTGCGAATTTGGCTAGCTCGGCCCATGGTATGCGGTTGAACATCGCGCGGCAGGTGGTGCTGATTCGTGAGAGCATCGAGCAGAAGTTCGGCATTAGCTATGCCAGCGTCTCAGGATTCTTTGTGCTGGCGAATGCTTTCCTTGCTTTGCTGGTCAAGTTGCTGGTGTCCAAACTCGAGAACCCCTTTTTGCAAGAGTTCGAGGCAAATCGGACAGTCAGACCTTAGCCATCCTTTCTACGTGTGGGCCCATAGTTCAGAAATCGCCATAGCGAGATTGGTCACTTTCTGCGGCCATTGGGTCCATGAGGGCTCATGAGCGCAGCAATTCGTGGTCGAACGAGCTTCTGGCGTGAACCCACGTTTATGTTTTTGTCCGTGTCAGTTTATGTCAGATCATGAAAGATGAGGTTTGTTGGTTCCCATCCGTGCCGATTTTGCTCATGCCAAATATGGCAAAACCATTTGCTGAACAGAGCCGCTGCTGAAGCGGGCATCCCGCTGACCAACTGCACTAGCGTGTCCGTTATGCACTAGGTTTCATCTCGGGCATCTTTCAGCCCAGCTGCATTGGGCTCTGTCTGGTTCCGTGCTATTTTGCCCAAAAGCAGAACTGGGTGTGGGTCAAAATTAAACCACCAAGGGACCGCAGGTTTTGGTCCATGTTGCCACTTACCAGGGCAAGCCATTTTGGGTACCTATGTCTGACCCACAGCCAACTGATTGTCCATAGTCGCAGTTCCATGCCAGACTTGGAGCCAGGACTGCAATTCGCCACAGGTCAAATGCTCCAAATGAGGCGAGTGGCCAAGATATAATATATATATATATACATATATATATATATACACTGAGTATAACTGTTATTGTGCATACATATTACATTATCTTTTTAACACATATACATACATGTTGTTGTGCTGACTAGATACGAGGTATCTACTGAAACCCCGTGGGGCAAAGTTCGCTTCTCACAGCAACTGGGTAGAGGCCTTTGAAGGCGCGTCGCTCAAACTCAACGGAGTCAAGGCACAAAGGTTTGCCTAAGGCCCGGAATGCGCAGATTTGCAACCAGCCGGCGCTGAAAGTTGTCAGCGTGGGGTGCAGGCCTTGGATGCGAGAAGGCAGCTGATCGTCTTGCTACTCTTCCTTCTCCTCACTTTCCTCATACTCTTGCACCTGCCTCTTCTTTCAATTGTATTTGCTTTGTCATCTTTGTCCTCCTGTTCCCCCTTTTCTTTCCTTTTCTCATTCCTTTTGATTCTCCATTCTTCACAAGACGACCATTTATGATAGACTGGACCCGTCAGGCTTTGACCAGCACGACCATGAAAAGGTTGCGAGTGGGCGAAGCCACTGTGCCGGGGAAGCCCAGGCTGTTGGCAAGATCCTTTCACCTGGACAAACATGAAGTTCCAACTTGTGGATGTGGGTGCTTGGCAAGGGGCTGGTAGATGCTCGAAAAGATTGGCAAGGGCCAGGCAGTCATGCATCATGTCCGCGACTGCGTAACAGCAGGTAGGAAAAATGATGAAGTGGTCCTGGCTGGTTCACCATCCTATATGTTGGCTTCCCCTTCTTCTGCCCTTCGCTTTCTGAGGCCGTACTCCACCAAAATGCTTTGTTGAAGCGTTTGTCGCTCGAGGTCATGCAGGGTAAGCTTCAGCTTAGTTTTGTTGATTTCATGTTGCGGAAGCGGTAAGTGACAAGTTGACTGAACGCTGCATCATGCATCGAAAGGCACTCGTCTAGCATTCCTACGCTCACTACCAGCGCCGGGGATGCTTGCGACAGCAATCTTTGGAGCAAGCTGGCAGATGCGGACGTGACTCTGTAATTCAGAAGCACACTGCCAGCCAGTCCGCAGTGGCTGATCCGCTGATAGATGTACAGTAAGTACAAGGTATAGCTGTTAGCTGTTTGACTCTCTGGCTTGTAGTTGCACATGCCACGCTTCCATCGGCAACCTTTGGAGCACGCTGGCAGATGCGGACGTGACTCCGTAAATTTGGAAGCACAACGCCAGCCAGTCTGCAGTGACTCATGTGCTAGAAGATGTGCTGCAATGAGTCTGTAAGACTGGTTACAACTTGGCTGGGCCAAACACGCGAGGCCAAGCATGAGGGTAAAGGGCAGGAGAGAGTGCGAGGCAAACTACTTAGCTGCTTCACTTTCTGGCTTGTAGCACACGCCACGCTTCCGTCGGCAATTTTTGGAGCACGCTGGCAGATGCGGACGTGACTTCGTAAATTCGGAAGCACAGCGCCAGCCAGTCTGTAGTGACTCATGCGCTAGAAGATGTGCTGCCATGAGTCTGTAAGACTGGTTACAACTTGGCTGAACCAAACACGCGAGGCCAAGCATGAGGATCAAGGGCAGAGCTCAAGTGCACATAGGCAGATACAGCACAGAAACAGGAGACAGTGCGAGGCATACTACTTAGCTGCTTCACTAGCACATGCCACGCTTCCGTCGGCAACCTTTGGAGCACGCTGGCAGATGCGGACGTGACTTCGTAAATTCGGAAGCACAGCGCCAGCCAGTCTGCAGTGGCTCATGTCCTAGAAGATGTGCTGCCATGAGTCTGTAAGACTGGTTACAACTTGGCTGGACCAAACACACGGGGCCAAGCATGCGGGTAAAGGGCAGAGCTCAAGTGCACATAGGCAGATACAGCACAGAAACAGGAGACAGTGCGAGGCATACTACTTAGCTGCTTGACTTTCTGGCTTGTTGCACATGCCACGCTTCCGTCGGCAACCTTTGGAGCACGCTGGCAGATGCGGACGTGACTCCGTAAATTCGGAAGCACAGCGCCAGCCAGTCTGCAGTGGCTCATGCGCTAGAAGATGTGCTGCCATGAGTCTGTAAGAAATGGTTACAACTTGGCTGGATCCAACACACATGTCCAAGCATGAGGCCAAAGGGCAGAGGTCAGTGCAGGCACTGGAGAACCAAGTGAAACAGCGGCTTGTTGCTCCGAGTTCTGTCATTTGCACGTACATTCCCCCGCAGTGGGGCCTCAGGACTGGTGGTGTGTGCGAGGCCTACAACCTCAAGATGCTCGTGTCTTAGCACGCATTGCAGCTAAGCTTCAAGCCCACGCAGTTCAGAATGTTTATTGTTTTGGACGTTGGGCACCTTTCAGACAGCACTATCAGACAACCGGGTGCACCAGCTGTGTGGCAAGTTTGAGCTCATGCAGTCTGAGTGCCCCAGTTCCTCAAGGCTTGATTCAGGAACTCTCAGACTGTGTACTGATGAAATCGTCTTCGTTTGAGCCTTTTCTATCAGCTCAGATGTTCCTTGAGCAGATCCGCGTTGGTGGGGTTTCAAAACCGCACTTGGCCCGTCTGAGGAGTCGCTTCCCAGAGGAATCCCAGTGCTTTCTGCGACAGGCACCTGTTGATGAGATTTGTTTGACTTGGGGCCGCCTATTGGAGTTAGATGGTTTGAAGAGGAAGCCATCAGCAAGCCAGCCACTTGACTGATAACTCTGATTTGATTTCTGAGCAGCTTAAACAGTGCGGCCTTTTGTTTCTTCACTTTCAGTTGGGTTTCTTTCAGCGGCACACTTTGCACATCGGAGCAGGCTTGAGGTGCAGCAGTGGCTCATTCAGTTTCTAGTACTTGGTACCGTAGCATGGGCAATGCCAGGGGTCGGGCAACGTGATGCTCCACATCCCGTCGGGATTTATCATCCCGTCGGGATTTATGGTCATGGCCTTTCATTTGACCGTGTCAGTTCCAGCCAACGGAGGTCGCTGCCAAGGGGCATGTGTTCTGCTGTCAGTTGCGGTGCTTCAGGATGCTTTGGGCATCATGGGCGCAACATGATTGTCTTACCACTCGAGATGAGCAGTTCAGAGGGCTTCAGTGTTTGCAAGCTACACAATACTACTGGAGATATGACAACAGCACTTGCTGTTTGCCGGGGTGCAATGCATGCGGACTCCTGCCGCCAGAAATATCTGGCTCAAATCCTCCCGATTTTGTGTTTGCAATCTCCAATGGCTGGTGAGGCCGCACCGGTTCCTGCGGTGAGACTTGTTCGGGCGGCCAACGTTTGAGCTTGGTCACGGGCCCAGAAGTTTCCTTATGATGGTGTTTATTTGGCTCACGAATGTAACCCTCATTGGCCGCCGATGCATGCACTGCAGGTTTTTTGCGTACTCAAACGGACAATGATGATGCACAGAAAGAGAGAGAGAGAGAGAGAGAGAGAGAGAGAGAGAGCGAGAGTGTGTCAGCAGGGGCCGCTTCTGAGTTTTGACCAGTGTTGACCATTGATCAATCACGACGAGCAGAACAAAGCATGGGCACTTTCTAGCTTGCCCGCCCTTGAGCGGCGAAACCAGCGATCAAGAGTGACCTTTTTGAGACTCGCCATGTTTGTTCCTGTTAGATCAGCCTGGGACCAGGACAAGCTCATGCACTGGTATTCAACAAAACTAGCCCCTGCGACGCTTGCACTTGACGAACAACTGTTTCCACAATTCTGCCAGGAGTGCTGTGTTCCTTTGACAACACGCAATTTTGCCCTAAAGCCTTAAGAAACAAAGGCCGTCTGACAGGCAACCTGGAGGGCTAGGTGACAAAATATGTTCTGATTTCTTGTTTGCTGTTTGGGGGGGGCTCAGTCTTCAGCAAGAATCCCACATTATTCCTGCCTTGTTGCGATTGGTTGCAAGACAGTTCGGGTTGCATTTGCGCTGCGCTTTTCGGTTGAATGCTCGCCGCAAAACTCTATGTTTCAGCTTCATCAGTTTGTTATGTTTTTTTTTCCCCGTACCACACCATTGCTAAAATGTGCTAAGGGCCTGTGGCAACTGCAATGCATCAAAGCAGCCCCGAAGCCCTCCGCACAAACCACGGAGCAAGCAAGGTCCACAAGTCAAGGCCCCCAAACCCCAAGCCAGTTGAAAAAGCACAAACTGAGAGGCGTGTCGCTGTACCACAACCATGGCTGGGGTGATATGTCCAGCTTGCAAATCGGCTTTTCCACACAGGGCGCGTGGCTGGGAAAAGTGTTCTCTTGGCTTTCGGCCCTCCTTCTCGGGCTCGGCCATGCGGCTGCCATTGTTCGGAGGTGTGTTGGTGTGTGGCAAATCGTGATTGTGGCAATCTTGCAAGAGGCACCCAGGCTGTGGGAAGCTTGATTGCTGGCTATATCTTCACATGTACTTTTGGGCCTGTAGCATTCGGCTGTTGACAAACATATCTCGGAGCTGAGGCATGGTTGGGATCATACCCTAGGACCTGTTTGGTGGGGTCTGCCCAACTTGGCCCCTGCACTCCAACAATTTTTCTGCGACTCGAGGCGGGAAAGGCAAGGACCGTGTTGCTGGCCACTGAGAAGGCAAGATCCGATCCGCCCAAATTCCCTGGACACCAATGTATAGGGATGCTCGATTTTGACGGTTCCCTCGGTTTTGCACCAACTTTCGGAGTGTTTTAAGAATTTGCGAGAGTCACATGTACTAACTGGACAGCCTTCTTTTCATGACTCCCAGGGCAGGACCCGATGCGTGTTGCTTGAGGAACCTCTCCGGATTGGCTAAGGACAAGCTCGCCCACCGACATGTTGGAAGCATGCCGAGCCAAGGAGCATTCTCTCGAAAGATGAAGTGGTGGTCAAGACTTGACCATCAGGGGCAACCCATATTTGAGTTACTTTTGACTCATGCGAGGGGATTCGGGTTGTTCCTGATTCACTCAAAGGGTTTCGGGCCTTGGAGATCTCTCATCGATGGTTTCCCTACGTTTCCCCATGGCTTCCCTATGGTTTCCCTATGGTTTCCCTATGGTTTCCCTATGGTTTCCCATGGTTTGCCTATGGTCTCCCTATGGTCTCCCTATGGTCTCCCTATGGTTTCCCTATGGTCTCGCTATGGTCTCGCTATGGTCTCCCTATGTTTTCTTGTTTGTGTTTGTGTGTTTCTTGCAAAAGTAAGCTTCTCGGGTGCCAGGCGTTTGCCGCGGCAGCCGTGACGAAGATCGACGAGGTGTTGAAGGCAACTCCACTTCGTGCAATGTCAATTTTAGTACGAGTTTCTCATCCTCCAAATCTGGCTGAGCAACATAAATTGCAGTCCATGGGTTAGTAGTAGTTAATCTAAGGTCCAAATCTGGCTGAGCAAGATAAGTTTGGCAGTCCATGGGGTTGATAGGTCTCACAATAGTTTATCATTCCTCATCACTAAGTGGTCACCAGTGTTCAGGCATTCCGAGCCAGGTGCCAAGCGTGTGTGATCGAACGCCATTGGAACTACACAGAAAGCTTTGCCAGGCTGCCAAGTATACGCTGAAGAAGCTAGAGAACTACAAGAGCAAGGCAAGGTAGCGAGGGCTTGCGTGAACGAAGCCTTGAAGGGCTGAGTGCTTGGCAACTTGTTGTTTTCCGTTGCCTTAGTGCTGCATCCTTTAGCTAGGAAACCATGACTAGATTGTTCCGTCAAAGCTCATGATCACGCTTCGCCATGAACAAAGCTGATTCTGTTGGTGGCAGGGGGTATGTGTTTGTACACAGGAGGGGCACGTGCGGAGCGATGTCACAAGCGCTGACCACCAGTATGTTCCCGAAAAGATGTCAGCCCAGACGCAGGTTCAGAATCCAGCAGAATTTAAGGGTCGCACATGGGCACTGAAAAGAAATAAGTGACACTTGATTGGGAATGTCCTTTCCAGTCACAGGAACTGTTGATGAAGCCGAACATGGCAATGCCCCGTTCCTATCCGCTTCTTTTTGTTACGCGCCTTGCACGCCTCCAATGCTGCCGAGCCCAGAGACATGAGGTACCACCACAAACAGGATGACAGATTGGCTGGTTCCTGTTGGTGTGTTGGAGTCATAGCGTCAAGCTATGTTGCAGGAGATTAGGAACACTATTTTGCCACCTGTGTGCGCCAGTGCACTAGTACAAGAAGCTTGGGCGGGGTGTGCATGGAAGAACTGAACAACTGCAATATCTTGAGGGCAGAAGGAACCATGGAGACCTTGGAGAGTCGCTCTTTGGCAGCCACAGTCGCTGGCTTCGTAGCACGTGTAGCGAGACCGATTCCAGCAGAGTTGCGCAGGATGATCTCCTGGCAGCTGTGGCAGACGCTGACGCCATGATCATCCGGTCCGACATTGTGGACCAGGCCGAGCGATGCCGAGGTGTTTTCTATTGGGCACCCAAACCCAGAGATGTCCCTGCCTGGCTGCCAAATGGACACATAATTTGGCAGCAAGATGTTTGTGTCCTTGAATACTATGTACTCGAGAGTATGGCCTGCAGGTTACTGCAGGTTTCTCGAGCTAGGTTCTAGATGCTTGCAGATGTTGTGTAGCGATGTTCTGGACTTTGCTGCATGCCTTCAGTCTTTGTTCGTGGTACAGTGATTGCTCGAATGCCTTCAGAGACAATTTGAGGCTGTGGTGCCAGAGTAACTGTTACTGGTTCATGTGCGTGTGGATTCGGTGACCACCTTGGATGGGGGGGGGTTCAGAGGGTTTCTTGGAGGGCTATGGAGATTTAGCCAGGCTGTGGTGGACAAGGCCGCCAAGATGAAGATTGTGGTCCGGGCAGGCGGGACAGATCGCAGGGTGTGCGAAGCTCTTCATGCTCGGTTGTGACTTTTGGCAAGAGGAAGTAGCATGATACACTTTGACCACGAGCATTCCTCAAGCGCCAATCCATTCCGTAGTTACTAAGGTTGTCTTCGGGACTGTCCCCACCCACGATTGAATCCTAGGCGTTGTTTGCCAGTGAATCAAGCAAGTGTCCGTCTCATGGGCCGTGGTCAATCATCGAGTTGTCCTGGTTCCCTTGCACATTTCCAGGAATCAACCACAGCTTCTTTCGATGCAACCAACATTCATTCGGCCGCAAGAGGTGCTGGCTACGACAACATCGACCTGAAGGCCACATCTGCCAAGGGCATCACCGAGTCTTGGCCGAGGTCTGACCAGCCTTCAAGCTGGGCTGGAGATAAGGTACATGACAATGTGGGTGTGTCTCAAAATTGGGGGAATCACCCTAAGTTGGCTGGTTTCTTTTGTTTCCCTGTTCAACCCCTCAACAATATATTGCACCAACCATACTGGATGTAACAAAGTCTAGACATCGTTGAACCCCAAAGGCGTGTTCGACTTTTTTGAGTGGTTGGCCAAACAGCTGCAACAAACGGCTTGTCTCCAGCTGTGCCCTTTCGGCATGGAGCGTCGCTAGCCTTGAAGACATTGGGACTCAAGAAGGACAGCTGGCGGCTGCTTTTTTTTTTCTGTTCCAGGGCACTGGGCAGGCTATGAGGTGGTGATGACGTAGCCTTGCGCGTGTGAGGTATCCAGTGACATTTATGCCAGTCCATGTAACCAGCATAGCGCGTCTTGTTTTTTGATCAGATGGCTTGGTTTGGGATGTCTTAAGTGCGGTTGTCGTGCCAAGTTCCCGACATGTCACATGAACGGAGGGGATCAACCGTCTTTCGTTGAGATTGGCGTCACAAAGTTCAAAGTGATGCGTTCAGTTATGCCGTTTACTCACACGTATCAAGATGCGACCACAACAGAATGGATTGTAATAGCACAGAAGAGGGGCCAGTACCGAGGCAAGCGCGGTCGCCACGGTGCGATTTGTTTTTGCACCTCACACAGCTGAGGTGTTTTTTGCTCACTGGAGGGTTATTGAATCCCGTCTGAGATCGCTTTGGAAAATTCTGAGAGGCACTGGAGTTTCAATCCATTGCTTGTTAAACGGTAGATTGCTGCATCACCAGCTTCCGAATAGCCACCTGGTACTGAGGCTATGAACACACCAGGCCAGAACGCCAACGCTGTTGCTGAGCTCGTGTTTGGCAGCTTGGCATGAACTCGAGCCGGGTCGCTCGGGGTTTGGGAGGCCTGCTCCCGACCAGCTGCCCTTCAAATGGGTGTGGGTCAAAATTAAACCAGGGGACTGCAGATATTGGTCCATGATTCCACTTACCAGGGTTCCACTTTGGGTACCTATTTTTGACCCACAGCCAAATGAGCATGTTTTGGACGATGCCGGGGGTATTCAAATAGCACGCCCTGGAATTAGGTGTGAGTTATGTGTTGTACAGCCGGGCCACGCCGGATCAGTGCTCCGTGGCTCAAACTTGGCAACTCCTCGGGGCTTTTGTTGTGTCCATCAATTGCAATCCTTGTCGATGAGCATCCACTTCAACGGGCATCCATAGTTTACTTTCCGTTGCCACCGCAAAAGTGCTGTATTTGATGCATGCCCGTGATGGGCTCATCACTGGGTCATCAAAGTGGCAGCTTTTTAATTTTTGGTTTAGGTCAGAAAGGATGGTGATTGCAACTGAATATTTGATGTTTTCGATCTTTGGGTACTCAGATGTGCCTGTTGACCATGCCAATGCAACGACGCGACAGGCACGAACGAGAAAAGCACATACACACTGGCATGCCAATGTCCTTCACAAGAACATTCAACATGCAATGACGCCAGCAAAGACAGTGCAACACACGCAAAGTGGTTGTGAGAAATTGCAGCACAGCAGATTACAGACAACAGCACAATGAGTCGCAGCTCTACAATCAAACCAACATATGCGCAACCATGTACGGACACTGAGATATACATCTTCATATTGACAACACATCGACATGTACACACCTACCAAGTCGCCTTTTTTTGTGCCACCCGCGAGAACTTCCCCCCTCCCTTTCCCCCTTCCGCGCTTTCCCGCCCTAGGCATGATGATCGTGAGCGCGCGGAACAACTTCGACGGCACCAGCGGCTTTGAGCTGGTGAACCGGGAGATCGCCTTCTACGGCTTCGGCGCGGTGGCCAGGGCGGTGCACAAGCTCGCCCAAGGCGCGGATTCGGCGCGGATTCGAGCGAGCCGAGCGGGGCTGGGAAGCGGACAGCCTTGGTGGTCGTTGGGAACATCTTACATGTTGGCGGTTTAGGGGGAATCTCCACTGAACTGCTTTTTTTTGCTCCCCTGCCAACGTCAACCAAGCTTTGGTGGCTGTGCTTGTTTGTGGTTTGCTTTGGTTTGAACTCTTATGCCCTGTCAGTGGTGTTCAATTGCTTGTGCTTGCCACGATGTTGCGATGCGCATTTCGCGTGACTTGATTTGTTCAGACTTCTTCGGGTAGAGAGTTTTTGAAGGTCCCACGTGATTGTGTGCGGACAAGTGCGTGGCATGCTTTGATGTTGCATTTGGGGTAAAAGGAGCTTACGCAGGATGAAAGTCTCCTACGCGAACCTTATGGTTGTGATGGTTAAATGCTTATTCAATCCTGACGCATGAAGTCTGTTCTGATTGACTCTGCTGGCGGTTTGTGGGCTGCACACGTGGGCCCTTATCAACAGCCTGGGCACAAGATGCATCTCATGGCGGATTCATCCCTTGGCTTCATTGATACCGCTTGCAGTCGTTCCTCTGGCTTGAAATGCCGCCGCGTTTTCTTTGCCAGGCTTCGGCATGAAGAGCTTTGCCTACGATCCCTACATCCCGGCGGACAAGATCAAGGCAGACCGGCAAAGGGTTGGCGTTGTCGTTCGAGATGAGAGCGCTGAGCTTTGGAAGAGGCAGGAGCACGACACCTGCTCAAACGTTGATTGTCTTTTTGGAAAACGGGCTCGGAATCCGAGAAGGAGTGGCAGCTGCAGTTGTATTTGTATCGATTTGAGTGTGGCTGAAAACTTTGACAAATGGCTCAGAGCTGTGTGACAAAAGAGGGCAAACGCACACACACGCACATGCTCCGGAAGCAAGTGGCTGCTACCTGATGAGAATTGCGTTCGACTTTGCGGCTACTAGGCCTCAGTGGGCTGGGGCCTTGTTGCGCGTCTGCCTTGCTTGAAGCCCCGTCCAGGAGGCTGGAGCCGAGCCTGTGTCCACCGTAGCAGAGCTCTTCGATCATCAGTACGTGGCTCGGCAAGCGGCGCGTTTTGCTGGGCCATGGCGGCGGATTTCATGGCGATTCAGGAGGCGATTTGGCCATGTGATGCAGTTGAACAAGGTTGGCTATGAAGGATTTTGCTGCTGGTTTGCTCCGGCGGATGTGTTCTTGGCGTTGGGGCCTTACATCTCGCCCTCGTTTTGAGAGGTTGGTTATGTGTTTTTGACAAGCCATTGTTTTGAGGTGTATTGAGGGTAGTTTGCAAGCAAGTCGAAGGAATGGAGGAGCTGCTTGGCGCGTTGCCGGAAGTCGCTAGTAGTTTCTAGATGCCCTACATGATCTGTCGATTCTCAAAGATGGTCACAAGAAGCCAGGCGGAAAGCATTTGAGGCCATGACCGTGCTTTTTTGAGTTCTATCCGCCAGCATGCGTCCAATCAAGCAATCCTGCCATGACTTTACCGTTATGTGGTACTTGTTGTTCTTCGCTGAACGGTTGGAAAGAAAACATGTGGAGGGGCGATGTGTTTCTTCCTGCATACAAAGTTGTGCCAGGTCGCCCTTTGGTCACTGTGCCAAGTCGCCCTTTGGGCAAGAGTGCGCAAAAGTTCCGCGAAACGATAGAGTTCTGCAAGCTGGCTGCTAGCTGCTCGACTTGGGCCGTCCAAGCCAGACTTCTGCAAAGAAGTGGTAAATAGGCGGGTCTGCCCCCTGTTCAACATGGAAGATGCCCTGTGTTTGCTTTGGTGCCTGAACGTACCCCACATTCAAGTCTGGTGAACATATAATTGTATCAGTGCAGGAGTATTTGTTCAGCACAGTTCTGTGCCTGTCGTGCGATACTATCGCTGTGTCATCATTTCGTACCAGACCCTCCGCGTTCTGCATGTTTCTTCAAACACGGCAAACACCCTTTAGGCTTCAACACATGCCCGCACGATTTGGGGAGGACGTCACAATTTTGGAAGGACGCGACCATGTTGAAGCTGCGTTTCATGCTTTATCGTTGCAAGCAATACTGCTTGCGCAGTATCTAGACGAGGACATAGGCATGATGACAGCTTGTTTGTTGCTTTCATGTTGCTTTTGAAATCAACCAGGTTTGAGCAACTGGTTTGATGCTGGAACATCCTGCAAGGTCTATCCGATGACGTGGCATACTGCACTTGGATTTCTAAAGAGGCTAGTCTTCCTTGACAGGGCTGAAGCTTCACAGCTACTCCATTCGAGTGGACACGCCATTAGCAGAGTGACTTATTTGCGGGGAATCATGCACAGCGCCAAAAGCGATGATGAACGACAGTTGACGATTCCGGACAGGTTTGATCCACGTCAGGTAATGAGTATGATGTCGGGAGCAAGCACCATGGCACGTTATGCACAGGTGATAGCAGAATTGTGTCCTTCATGTCTGAAACAGGGAAAGTGGGCTTGCTGGCTTAGGTTTCCCTTCACGTGCCACTGACTGATGAGACGAAAGACTCCATCAACAAGGAACGGCTGCCATGATTTTCGACATGCTGCCTGGTTTCGCTGACTCGTCGAAGCGACTCCCATCTGCCACGAATATGCTTCGAGTGGGTGCCTGGTAGGAGCTTCGTTTAGGGATATGCATTTCAGCCGTCATCCCTTGTTCCCTTTGGGTCATGTGTTTGACAGGAGCTTGTTTACAATGATGGCGCAGGAACCTAATCTAGGGAATGCTGCTACCGGGTACAGGTCCTCATGTTCGTCAAGCATATTCTGAGCATGGAAGGCTTGTCAAGGACATGTTGGCCAATTGCAGCAGCTTCGTGGCCTTGAGGGTCTTGGTTAGACTTGTGACATGATAATGCACTAATTATATATATATATATACACTGATCAAAATTAATATTGCCGGGGACAACGTGGCATGCATCACTCAAGTCATTTTGGCCGATAACATTCGCACTGTCATGCGTAATTCGGATGAGGTCAGTCTCCTTCTGGTGCTTTTCTTCGCCACACCCATAGAGCCGCGTCAGGCGTTGCTGACAAGGATGCCCAAGGGTGGAACTTTGATCAACACCGCTCGCACTGAGGCAGGGGCAGACTACTGGCGGACTTTCGGTCATTGTTGACAGGGGAAACTTGTGGTTTTGCCGCGAAGGGAAGGGCGGACCCAAGCAATGGTGGCGCCATGGGAACGGCGAAGGCGAGACCTTCATAGCGAACGCTGTGTGTAATGCATCGCTTACACACGCTTCTTCATGGTTTGTGTTCGGCACGTGTTTCCGGCAGCTGACTCCCAAGTAAGGGTGGTGCTCTTGGCGTCTCTGGGTGGAAGTTTGCTCGTCGACTCGCCATGGCGCCTTCGGAATACCCGTGCGTGGCCCCTGCGCCATGCCTCAGGTGGTTCACGAGGCGGACATGATCGACACCCTGAAGACCCGGCAGGACTTTTGCTACCTCTGCGACGTTGCACCAAAGGACCGAGCTCAATGGTGTCAACAGGCAGTTCGTGGATTTCCCCGAGTTTTGTCCAGTTTGAACTCAGGTCATGCCACCCGATTTTCCAAAGGCGGGTTTTTTGCAACGGTCCTTTGATTTGTGTGTTGCCACAGCTGGATCAGCCTGCCGTAGAGTTTTGACGACACCTTTCAGGAATTCCGCCATGGCTCAGTGATTTGCACTATTCGGTGGCATGGCCTGTTGAGTGCGGTACTAGGACATTGAGCCGTACAAGGCAGCAGTGGGAGACAAGCACCGTGGCAATAACGGACAACGTGCCCAAAGAATCGCTCGGCCAAACCAAGCTTGTCAGCTTTCATCGTCAGCTTGACACGTCGCAGCCTTCACGGATGCACTCACGTTGCAAGTAGTCCTCATGATCTCATGATGCTCACAACATGAAAGCAGGGATGCCTTGTTGAAGCTTCGACCATGCCTTGCAACATGGGTAATGAATCATGGGAGCGGAAGGCCTTTCTCCCAATCGTCCGCTCGTCCACCATTGGTGGAGTGTTTACAGGCAATGAAGGTGCATCCGCGGATTTTGCCGCAAGTTGAAGAGGAAGACATGGGACACAGGTGCGACCTACTTGAGAGCCTGTGCCGAGATAGTCCAGAAGTTGAGAGTTCTTTGCAGGCTGTGCCTTCACAACAACAGCATGTTCGGTCTGCGGTGTTGCATCGCCGAGGTATGGCAAGCGTTTGATCTTTACCAAGAAGAAGATGGGAGCCCAGACCGCGGAGGCCAACGACAATGCGGGAGTCGCCGCAGCCAACCAGATCGTTGGCTTTTTTGAGAAGGGCGCCTCAGCCTGGAAAGAGGTGTGTCACACGCAGATGAATCATCCCTGTGACGACTTGGTGTCCCTTTGTAGACATTTCTAATTCGGGATGGGTGTTGTTTTATGGATCGGGATCCTATGGCCCGGAAGCAGAGCAGAGCCTGCGTTCAGATGGAATGTGTGGTCTTTGCAGGGTTTAGTCTTCCTGTTTCAACATCCAGCCCCAGAGTTTCGGGTTAGGATTCGCCACCCAGCGAGCTTTAGCTCCCCGTGGGCCACAACACGCCAAGGCAACCCATTTGGCATACATTTATATACCACTTGCTCGATCTTCTGGGATCCCGTTTTCTTGTGTTTTTTGCAACGCGATACTGGTAACCAGGTACAATACGGTACCGAACTGGTCAGCACGTTGAGAAAGCTTTGTTGTCAATCAATATGTGATGCCGTCAAGCCATTATGAACTGCATAGCATTCTGCTTGGTTCTTCCGTCTGCAGAGGATACTCCACACAGGAAACAATGCCGGAATTGACAGCCTTCCAAAACTCCTTCTGACAGACTTCACATTGCATACAAGACCACAAACATGTGTCCTAGTTCACCTCCCCATCCTTTTCAGGGATCTTTCTTTCACAACATCACTCACGTCATTCTGGGGAATGTGGGTGGTGAGTGATGCTTTTACCTAGATATGTTGAAGGGTGCTTGGCACTGCAAGCTGAGGTGAGACGCGCTTCTCACTCAAGGCCTGAGAAGGCCGATGGGAAGATTTCATGCGAAAGCCAAGAGGTTGGGGGGTAGCGCGACTTTGGGAAATGCGTGGAAGATGGTTTGACCATTCGACTTGATCTAGTTTCCCGACGGTGCAAACGGTGCAGAGCCAGAGACCGATTGGAAACCAATGGGTTTGATGTGCGGGTTGTGCTGAGCCGTTTGTTCAAGAAGAGTGAACATGGCACGCAAGAGCAGCTTGCGGCCACTGCAGTTTTGTGTCTTGTGACGGCTTTGCGGAGTTAAGTAGACCCAGAGGAAAAAACATCCTTCGTCCAGGTGTTTGCAAACCTCCAAGGTGGAGATGCAAGGCTGTTGGCGGAACCACATGCTTATCATAATCCCGGTCTTGTCGCCCCGCATGATCCTGGAGACACGGAACCCAGGCTCCAAGACGTCGATGCTTGCCAGTGATGTGCGTGAGTTACTTTGCCTTGCTTTCTGCTGCAACCCTCTCGAGGCCATGAGCAGGAGCACTTCGTCCACTCGCTTGCCGGGGAGAAGCGACTCGCGCAGATATCCGAACTTCAGCCTGTGTGGCAAACGGGCATGAGTGCAGAGGTTTTGGTGGCGTTTAGACGGTTTAATGCACAGCGCCCCAGTTCGAAGATACGTGCTTGCGTTGATGGTTGGATTTGTTTTGTGATCTGCATCATGCCTGTGCCACCTACCAGATTTTGAGCCATCTTTCCGGAAGAAAGATTAATCTCTACGTTGACATGGGCTTCGGAGAACAGCATTTGTCCAATAATATAGCCTTTTGCTGCCGAGCAGGTTTTGGTGATGTTAGTGGCAAAGGGCATGGTGCTTTCCTGGATCCTTCAAATGTCGATCAGCAGTCCCGACAAGATAGCGAGCCTTTGGATCAGTGCTGTCCTACTAGCAGTCCATCAGCCAGGAGCCTTTTTAAGAAGGGAGGGGTAAATGAATGCAGCATATTGGAAGCAAATCTTAAAGGCGTCATGGACAGTCCACGTGCCTTGTTCTAGCAATGGATGGTCTGGCAGAACGAACACAACGATAAAATCTGACAGTGGGCGTTTGTAAGTACAAACTGCGGCTGAGCCATGCTACTTTTTGTCTCGGACGCCCATGTCTCACCATGCTCTTGCATACTGCTCGGGAGTGGAGTGGTTTCGCAATTGAAACCGAATGTTGCTTTCAGTACCTGGAAGTTACAAGCCAGCAATGTATTTGCATCCCATTCAATGTTTCCGCCTGAAGAATTGACGGTACCTCAGCAACGGGATGATTTCCAATGGAGTTTGGCAGTGAAGAACTGCATTGAATTGCAAGATGCTCAAAGCGCACTAAGGGGAAACAGTTGGAATGTGTGTACTTAGTTTCTGTTTCTACAGGTCTGATAGTTATCATTGATCTTTGACGTACACCCACTTGCAAGCAGCATTTCTTTTTTGTTTCTTATTCCGGGGGCATTTGGTGCAAGGCCTTACATCACGTGTTGCTTGCGGCGCAATTGCGAAGGCTCCAGCTCGTCGAGCTTTCATTAGCGAGCATCAGCCGCGAAAATGGGGTGCATTGCGGATCAG